CCTCACATAACAAGGAAGGCTCCAACTTTAGAAATAGTAAGGCCATTTTTACTGTTCATTGTATGGATTAAGTCAACAAGCTCGATTAGACCTTCCTCAGTTTATTTTTCCATGTTGGAATCCTAATCGTAGACGTAACCTTAGCATCAGAGTTTGGCTTCAGCTGATACCAGTTCTGCCGAAGTGGACGACATTTGACATAAACGTGTCTGGTAAAATACAAACCCCATCCCTCCACCTGGCCACCATAATTAAATATATAAGGCAGCATTTTAGTTTGAGATTGTGTGGATGAATGTGCACATTTTTTGCGCTTTTTTCGACTGTTTCCTCTTGGTTTTTCGCGTAGTTTGGGAAACAAATTTATTCCAACCCGTTTAAAGATTGTAGAACAAATTGGACATTCAAATTTAATCTGTTTAGTTGTACTGACTGTTCTTTATTGTGGATAATGGGTCAGCTGTGCTTTTGATGGTCCCCTTTTGTCGAAAAGATTTGCCCCGTGCTGAGTGCATTCAGAGACGTCAGTGCTACCTTGGCATTTAGTGAATGATGCCCTCACTTTACTCTTACTTTGAAAGACCGAAAAAGAAAACTATAAACTCGACATAAATCTCGTGTTTGCATTTATCAAGTGGTACTACTAGTTTGTCCAGCCCGGTAACTCTCTTGTGAACTACCCGCCTAAAAATGCTAAGACTGGTAACCTCCTGGCCACCGCTCTAACGCCTCGAGAAGTCTAGGGTTCTTCGTTGGCTAATTTTGTGCATTACTTAGTAATCACAAGCATGTTCCGATCGTGTCAGCACCTGTCCTTTCTCTTGCTCTATTAAGCCGTAGATCGAAATGTCGTGACCGCTAAAATTCCGAGTGACTTGGATCTACTTCATGTGATCTGAATTTTCCCAATTGTGGGTGAATTCATTTAATCCTGCATTTTATTTTCTTTATACTTTTTATTTACGAACTCTAGACAATTCGTTGTGACGTGAACACCAACCCAATCTTGGAGTATGCGAACTTCTAGTTGGCACATTTCCTGTGTAGATTCGCCCGATGAAAAAATCCCTGTCACTACTAGTGCACTATGGCCACACCAGGGCTGCTTCTCTGCATACCTCTCCACTGGCGTTCGATAGAGTTATCCAATCGCTCTAAAATCCATTTCATGAGCTTAAATGCAATGAACTTTTTTGAAATGTCTTGAGACCCAACTTTACTGTTGCTTTTGTAGCGTCCCGAGACTTCCCATAGGGTGGAAGAAGGCCGTGAGTAATGCTGGATACATGTATTCCAAAGGGAATAGAGCAAATGGACCTGAGCATGGCCCGAAGACCAGCTCACGTGCACAAGGACCAGACAAATCTTAAAGTGACCGCCACACATCATATAAAGTATTACAGCTCTTACCTACTAGATATTTTTGATGCATGGGATACCGTTCACATCAAGTTACCTAAATATCAGTCGGAGTCTGAAGAGCTTAATCGCTACAAGAGTCTGAACTTCATCGCTAATTAGTACGTCGCTACTGCTTTAAAAAATTTATGCTAGCATAACTAAAGTCATATTCCTGGTCTTGTTCACTCCTTTGTTTGAAAAGACGCTCAAAATGCAGCGCTGACTTCAATAAACTGGTGTGATTCGACACAGCCCCTAAGCCGTCAACAAGAGAATCGACATAAAGCATGAGAATCGCTCTGATGTCCATAGAGTTTGAGCGCAGATAATACCTTTTTACCCCAGTAGAAAGGCGCTGCAAATGATTTGTTTTTAGTCTCAGAATTCGCTTCCAGGTATTTCGACATGCCGATATGTACATCAGATTCTTAACAATGCAAACTTAACTCAAAACTCCCAAACTTTGCTTTTGAAGTATCATACATGTGACGTAACGCAGGGCGAAACCATGCAAACTTGCTAGGAGCTCCTGCTTAAGCAGCGTTATTTTCAGACTATCGGGACGTACATACCGATATGTGACCGATGGTCAATTATGCTCGATGAACAGTTGTAAGCTGCTAAATGCGTTGACACACACTAACATCAGATTTGCTTCAGCAAAGTTTAGTCATAATTATTAGGCTTCGTTAATTTTGGAGCAAAAACTGAGAGAGAGTCTTGACTAACTCGCATTAATCATGCTCGTAGAGAAAAGTATTTCACCAATAAAAATAGGGCGTAAACAATTTTGTTTAACTTTCATTCGACAAATAATGAGATTTATTTCACTTTCATTAGTCAAACAAGATTAGGCGAACGTGTCATGCGCCATATTTTCGGAGAAGCTTTTGATAAACCCGCTAGAATGGAATGTTTTGGATCCCAAATTTTCTTCTCAATATTTTAGCCTATTGACAGAGCAAATCTACCATAAGAGGTAAGAGATAACTAAATTATAAAATATCCCATTTGTGCACAAGGTTTCGTTTCCTTTAAAGCCAAGTCTAATGCAATAAAAGGGTACGGATTTTAATGTGGTTGCGTTTTAATTCATCACAGGTTGAGGTCGTTTGACTTTCGTGAACAAATATTTTTATGGTTGATGATTTTTATGAAAATTCCCTTGGTGATCTACGGTAAGCATTATATTCAAGTGTTCCAACGCATTTCGAGGGGGTACTGTTGTGACCCGTTTCATGTGCCCCTTTGTAAATTAGTTTATTCGCATGTTTCTTACTTTCAATGAAAAAATCGAATCTCGTTTGCGAATATTCAGCAGTTTTGGGTCGCGTAGGGTTAAATTTTTGAGTTTCTGCATGGTCTCTTGTTCTTATTCACTTTTACAGTATGTTGTCTTCCAATAACTCGCATGCTTTTTGGAATAATTCCTTCCTGCTCCTTAATCGTGGATTTGGATTCCACTTCTTGTTAAATGCTCGCATGATTTACAGCCTTTGGCAATGGTATTAGGTGGTACACTTATTAATTAGCGTCCGACATATTGACAAGGGCTATCTTCGCGTCAAATTGGCTATAGCTTTTTATCTTCTAGTTTAGCCTTTTATTGTTTTTGATCGTTAATTTCTAGGTTAAGAAGAAAATATGTGGATTTTCAACTCATGATTCGGGGGATAGTTTCTTTACTTTTGTGCTTTTTTGCAATTAGATGCCTCTGCTAAATGGCGAACCCTTTGTTAAGCAACAGCCGCCGCCTGATCTTCGGCCGGAAGAAGAAGTTTTCTTCTCACCCATCACCTATGAGGTCTTTCGGAACTACGAGTGAGTGTAGAATCACACTGCTACCCGGACTACTCCTTTCATTGCCTGGTTATTTTTTGTTAAACTTTTTTCCCAATTGCCTTTGCAGTGGCCGAAATTTGCGGCCCTTAGATCGGTTAGGTGGCTTTGTCATTTGCGTTCACATTATTTATGAGTCGATTTTTCCTGCCACTCGTTCATTTTAATTACTCATGTTCATTCTATTGCATGTGGGTCGGTGTCTGTGGATCGTGTTTTGAGTTCCAAATCCATCGTCATAGCATTCTGTTGCTACTGACGGATCTTGACCACTAGAGGATTTGCTCACACGTTTAGTTGAATTTTTACCTTGTTTTCAACATTCTTCCTTCTGCTAATGTTAATCCAGCCACCTTGCTATCTGCTATTTCCTTTTGTCTTTGTATTGACCTGAGAAGACATGAATGCAGTTGATTCTGCAAAAATCACTTGCTTAAGTCGCAGCACCTTGTTCTGATCAATATTCATTCGGCTAGCTTGAACGTTTCGGGGATGATGATTATTATTTCTTTTTTTTTTGCTGTCTTTCCCATTTCAAGCTAAATGAGTCAAGTTTATAGCGTCCGCCTCTGATTGGTCACCTTTCTGAAATGACTACCGAGTGTCTCACTGGTTGTCTGATTGCGACGTTGTCGCAAGGTGAATCGTGTACAAGTGCCTGGTGTGAACTCCCTTGTCAGTGTCATTTTGCTGACTCCTTTACGCATTTTGATGGTAAACTATCCATATGCTCAAAACTATGATCTGTACGCAAACCAATTTCAATGAACTCACATTGTTCTAGTCTGTAATGCTGTTGCGTCCCTCCTTTACATTAGGCGTGTGCAACCTCGTCACCTTTGCTATCTTTCGCTATTTCATGGGGAGATTCATTGATTATTCGAATCAATCTCGGCGTTTTTATTTACCCATCTGGGGTTTAAGATACACTGGTTCCAACTTCTTCAAAGAGGCATAGTCTAGGAGTTTGCAAACCTTTCAATGGCTTGGTTGATCGAGTTTTCAAACTGAAGCATGTTTGTGTTATTAACTTTTCAAATGTACCTACTCCTCCAGATATTCCAACCTTTAAATCAGACCTGGGCTAAGTGCCACTACCGGATAAAAGTAGTTTATTTTTTGTTATTTTGGACTTAGCCACTGTTTGTGTCACTATTTGATGCAGTTATTTGTCGTAGTTTGATAAAAACACATCACGTGCATGACATCTACACTTTAATTGTGAAATCACAAATATTCCCCAAAGGTTATGAAAGTTAAATTTGCATTTTTTTTGGCATCTGATTTTTTGAGAGTTGTCTATTCTCAAACTCGGGAGTTTGCTCTTAAGCTACTTACATTTTTCAGCCTACCCTTTTGGGGATTGAATTCGATTTGTTTCCTCTTCCTTAATTACTGTGACACCTGACGGGTATGGGAAATTTCATTAACATAGTTGATTTCATTATTTTGCAATAAAATTTGGAAACGGACTCTACTTTAATTCGGATTGCTAGTACACTTGACCGAGAGGCGTGTGGTACATGACCACTCGGTTTTCCAACTTGAGCCTTCAATTACCTCCCTTTGCTTATTCCATCATAAGAACGTCTTGATGTCCGGAATTCAGTTTTCTCATGAGGGAGTTTGTTGACCTCACATATTTTCCCTTCAAATCCAAAGTTGTCATTTTTGGAGATGCCGACCTATCGGTCAAGACCATATCTTGCCAAAGACCGGTTTCGTTTTGATTTATTGAAAGAGTGCTTCTACTGTTTAAAATCCAATAGATATGATTTCCTGTTTTAACACTTTGTGGTGCCTGGAGGTGGGTTCATCCAGTGTGGTGCCTGATACTCTCGCTTTGACAGTGGTTAGTAACCCTCCCGCCTATTTGAGTCCGAACCTTTCTCCGCCCTTTTTCCGCCGTAATAGCATTGGAGAAAGCCTGTGTCATCATCATGGTTCAGTATTCGGGCATTCAATGGTATCTGTTTTGTCGCTATTTCTTCCTTCATTATGCTCCCTTCTATCCCAAATTTTTGACTTCTTGAACTCATCGTCCAGATCCTATTTGATCATCTTTTTACTGGACAGGTACTCTACATCTCTTACCGTTGGTCCAAATTTCAACATATAAAGAAGCCCGTTCTCCTGTTTAGAGGCTCTGTATGTCAGTGGTTCATTGAGGTCTGAAGTGGGACAACGAAAGCTTGCTTGGGCTGCCCACTCTGATTGCCTCTTCCTCTCCAATAGAGGATTTCCGAGACATGAACCCGGGAAAATGTGTTTTGGTAGTGAGATGGTCATGGATACCTAATTCGAATTTCTACTCATGTTTAAACTTCCTCTCGTAGTCTGTATACTTAATGTTTACTCTCTGTTGAACTCATAGGTTGCACGCATAGGCTACCAAATTTCAAAACTGGAGCCTCATTTACGCTTTTTTCTCGCATTTAAGACCGAGAAAAGCTTTGGTAGTGCAGGTTGTGGTGTTGGCTAACGGTGGCTCGATGACCGTTATCCGCTGACCCTTTAAATCCCTCATTGTCACGACCACTTGTCTTCATCCCAACGGAAATATTTGCCCTATGAAGTCCCACTTAAAGGTATTGCGTCAGTCACTCAAGATCAAGCCATCGCGCGCCAAGTAAAATGTTTCTTGACAATCATCTGCAGGTCCACATTCGGAACGTTGAATTCATCATTGAAATTGCACGCTCAAAGTTTCCTGTGGAGTTGCGCATCTCCTACCTCGGGTTTCGAACCTCCATTGAAGCAAATTCACTTTTACTGTTGCTTATGGTCGCGCTGAGTTTTGTCCGGCCTACACAAGGTCACACAACTTAATACCCGTGATTGTAGTTGTTACTCGTTGATGAACGTGATGCCTCCACAGCACCATCCATTTTTGACGTGACTATCTGTCTTTATTTGAGCGTAGTGCCATTTAATCACATACATTTCAACAAGCAACCATAAAACTAACCATGGATTTCGATGTCAGCACATAAAGGTGATTAGTTTCAAATAGTTAGCTGGTTTCTTCACCGTGAGGATGCGTAACCAAGTTCCATTTTTCCACTTTCCACTAATTCAGTGACTTCTTTGAGCGAACCATTCAGCTGAATACCATGGCATGGGGCTGTAGCTTCTGCGGTATGCAAAACCTCAACTACCGCGAGGCGTTGGACTGCGAGGAAGGTGATCGCACCCGTCTGGCCGCTTTCGGAGTGGGACTGTCACGCGGTCTTCTGCACATTATGCTACATGCCCGACGTCGACGCCTTGCAGATCTTGTTGACGTCCTTCTTGCTTTCACTACCTCTCGGTTCTTCGTCGGTGAGGAGTTGTGCCTTCGTCGGTGTGACGTTACCGTCAGGTTAGCCGTTGTTTTACTACTTTATCCTCAAGCTAACTTCTTTACCATGCTAACTACTGTCCGTCCCGAACTTCTGTGGCGAATTCGATTATGCAGTCCCGGTATTTGAAACTTAGCCCACTAATCTGCAGGTTCTCTTTTTTGCACGAATTATTGCTTGTCCTTTGGTCACTGCGCTACTGGCAAGCTCAAAACCAAGGTCGTTTCTTAGTGCTTACGCAAAATTAGCGTTCTGACTTCTCACTTCTCTGTCTGGATTCCTATCCTCATTTTTTTCCTCAATTTCGGATCTCTTAGGTTTCTATAGTATTTCAGCTGTTGATTTCGATATTGCAAGCCGGTTTGGTTAATAATTGCCCATATTCTTCGTCGTGATGGTTTACGAACACTCTTGTTGTCCAGAGCCAATTCTCGTAGTGATAACTGGTTGTTGATCGCCGCTCTGTTTAGTGCTGCTTTCGTTTGTTACTCGTACCTCACCTTGAGTGACATTCAAAACGACCGAACATGGGCCATCTACCAAACAATCAATCCATAGTTAGAAATTAGCGGTTTCCTCTTCTCCAAGGAAAGGAGGAGAAATTGAACTGAATGGGTGGTCTCCTATTGGCTGCATTTTCATTCAAATCTGCTTTGAGCTGTTGGTTCTTTGTGGTTGACATCTCTGGTGCTTCAGTCCGATGCCATTGATGATGCTTTAAGCTTTAAGCAGTTATCGACCTCATTCCCTAATGACAATTCAATTTCTTCATTTCTGAGCAGTTTAAAAACAATCAAACATTCCTACTGTTTGCCAATGTCGCCGAACACTTTTACAAGTGACTATGTCATTTCCTTGTTCCATGAAACCGAAGTATCGCCTTTGTGCTCGTCAGTCCAAGCATGAACTACACAAAAATAGAAACTCTACAGGTTGTGAAGAAACAATCTTTGATAGATAGGTAGATGATGTTTTCTCTGTTTTTCCTGAGTCACGTCTTTTATTATTGCCGCTAGTCTTTTAGTTTTCTGGGATGAAATAAGTGGGGATTGGTAATTTTCGAGGCTGCCTATGTCACATTGAAGAGTTGTCTTTTCATTTGTGATTGGCTTCTCAAAGTCGATGAACTTCACTAATTATTCCTGCTTTTGCTGTTCCCTTGGAAGTTTTTGCCCACCTATTTCGTACCGGCTTCCGGATTGACTCTTGCCTAGTAAGTGGTAATATTCGAAAATATGCGTTTCATCTAATGGTTCCACTTCATTTACCCCATCAATCAGTTGTCTTTTTGTTTGTAGCTCTGAACCTTCCGTCGTTGTCGAACGAGTTATTTTGCCACCACCAAAGCCCAAATGCGAGGATCCTGTACGTTCGTTAGTTACATGATTGCTAATTGTCTCCTTCCTTGCACCCCATTTGTAAGGTTTTAAACTCACTCAAGCAGGAAAACGAGAGACCCCCGACAATGCCTGATCCGAAGTCGATCAAATACGTCGTACGTGGCATTGACAACCAAATAAACTCAAACAACTCTTCTGAATCAAACCCGACACTTATTCTGCCCCATTCAGCATTGCACCGCCCACCGCAGAATTTCCTTACCCGCGACAGGATTAAGTCATTCATTAGGCAGACTGGCAAACTGGAGAATCAGTTCTTTGTTCCTCGAGTAAGAAATACAATGTTTTACTGCTACTACTACCACCTTTTAAGTAGAAAGTCCTTTTCGATACCGCTTTTTGTCTTTCCAGGAATCTATGCTAAGGTACTTCAATCTTTACCCTCTTGGAAGTCTCAAATGGGCGGAGGTATTTGCCGAACCCGACCTACCTTGGTCTGATATTGCAATTCCGAGAATTGTAACTGGTGAGTGTAAACTTGATTGATAACAGTGAATAGTCTCACTCTGCTTACCTTTGTCATTTTTTGCCTCTATTCTTAGGTCGTGAAAAGATGCTGATGGTTTCAAAGGATAGTTCGAACGCTGCAGCAAAAAGAACTGGCAACGCTTCCGTTGCAATAAAATCTATAGGTGAGGTTTCCTCCGCGCAGTCTTGTAGGAACGTGCGGAGAATTCTGTAGAAGTGCTTATCATGTAATTTAGACATTGGTGCTCAATTGATTTCCCATCCTCAGGAATCTCCGTAAACAACCACTCATTGTCAGAAATCGGCACTAACATCCATCGCCTTACCCGAATTGAAAGAACCGATTTGGAACGCACTTGGTCCCTTCTCCGCAAACGCGATGACCTCGATCTTTCCGATCTTGTACCACTGCCACCACTCACGCCCATTCGGTTGCGACGCTTCATTCCACCAGAGGATTTTGGTGTCTGTCTCCAAGTTTACGAGTTCTTCCACGTCTTCGGGGGTTTCCTGCACCTTCCAGTACCCGGTGCGGCTAGGCAGATCTTGAAAGGTGAGACTTGGAAGTCTCCTGTTATTATGGAGGAAGGAAGCGAGGAAGGAAGTGGTTCTGATGGACTCTCTTGGGGAACATTGGAAGAGGTTCTCTTCAGCCAGGACCCTATGGGTCCTTTCGCCGACGTTTTGTTTGGTTTGCTTTGCGCAATTCGTCGTCTGGAGGTTTGTTGAAGGAAAATGGGCCCATACGAATTCTAATTAGCGTCTTGGTAAGTAACTTCTCGTTTTCAGAGCGAAACAAATGGTCGGCAACTGCCACCCACTGCTGAAGCTGCTGCTGCTTCTACCGTCTCCGCCATCGCCACATTGGAGGCGGGTCTTCCCCTTGCCTCTGCGAGCTTTCTCACTGGCCTCGGTTGCTCTCAAGAGTACACAACAGTGCTGGCAGATACTCTTACTACCGCTTCCGGCTCAGCCCTCGCTGCAATCTTCCATGCGACAGCAGAGGCTACGCGCCAATGTGAGCTTGTTGGTCTGGCGCCTATCCACTCAGCACTGACATCTAGAGCAGAGCGAGCTGCCGCTACAGTAGCCGGCGGCGGTGTATCAGTTGTTGCGCCATCCGAGGGTGGGACAAACAGCGGCCGTTCATGGGCTGTTCGCGCCTCTGCATTGGCTGTCGCTCTTGGTGGAGCCTCACTGCCGCCACTGGACAGGGCTGGGTTAGCGGAGGCCCTATGGCTTCACATCACTACCGCGCCAGCTAAGACGGGTGGGTGGAGGGGTTCCATTTGGGGTGGCACGCGACCACTGGATGACCCTTGTGTTGATTTGATGCGAAGTAATCGGGAGATTGTGGACAAACTACGGTCAGGTAGGTTATTTTGGTTGTAAACTTTGTGTTTCGGCTGCAGAAAGTTAGTCTACTTATTGCGACTTCATGTTGGGGACGCAAATAGTAAATATCCGTTTCGACCTCAGTTGCATTATAGATGAGTTGGCGACCAGGCGATTTTTTGAAGTGGGACTGGTAGTGATTGTTTTCGTTGGACCTAGAATTTTGTTATTTATTAGTAACCGTTTTGTTACGCCGTAAGCACTTTTATGGGGCGAAAGCAACCAATGAATTTTTTACCAATTAGTGGTTGACCATCAGTATTTTACCGATTCATCAAATTGCTGGGGCTGCGAAACAGCAGGGAATGTGCAATATTTTGTCCACCCATTCCTCGGTATATTTCAGTGCCGCTTTACACTTGGCCATTACGGGATCGCCTTGTCCTGATCGTCAGCCTTATGGACGAGGTGCTACTGCAGCCACAATTGCGTGAACGTATGGAGGCTGCCTCGGAGGGTCTTCGACGCCTACGACTACAGCTGCGAGGAGTGCAGGCGGAACGCTACAAGTTCTACGGTGGCAATGCAAATATCGCTAACATGTTATACGGCTTCTCGCCCTCCACTCTTATTTCCACTAGCGACAACTGGTTAACAGGCACCCCACCTATCCTCCGGAATAGCATGAATCGGCCTCGCAGGAAGACTATTGAGGCGGCGAAGGCGAAAATTGCAGCAGAGTTTAATTATGCCAAGGGGTGAGTGAGCCTTTTATCTGTTTCTCGACACCTGTATATTTAATTGGTTCTGCCTCTATTTTTCCTTTTTTATCCATATGTGTTCAAAATTGTCCTTGATCTTATATTTAAAGCAGTTTCAGGTTTGTTTGTATGCGCCGTTTTATCATTCTGCCTTGAAGCCACAATTACTGACCATCTTATGTGACCGCCTGTTAATTACTCAGGGCTGGTGGATGAATGCTGTGTTGTGTGTCATCCGTCGCTTTTTTAATCAGAACTTGAAGGTGCGAGGACTATAAAACAACAGCGAAATATGTTTTGGTACCTTTATGAGCCAGTTTTAATGCTCAACATGCATAACGGGCGATTAAGAGACTTCAAATCAGTTTTCGGAAGTCGAATTAGTTCATTTCTTCGCGACGAGGTTATTGTCAAGTTCGCCAGAATTGGAGCTGAAGTAGATTGGGAGATCATTGCACGCACGATTTGCGGAGGTTCTTCCTCTCATTTTCGGGTTCTTCTTTACGACCGTCGAGTCTTCCTTGAGGTGTGATTAGCTATGTTTTCCTGGCCACAAAATTTCCTATGCACTCCTTTATTTTACTACTTTTATGTATCCGTCTCAGCTTTGGAATTCTCATTTAGGTCTTGGAGTCCTAAGACGTTCACTTCTGTTCCCTAGGTTTTAAAATAGCATTTCGGTGGAAATAATGGGGCCACTTTTTAAGAAATTGCCATCATTAGCTTCAACTGAAAAACTCACTATCGAATAGGCACTGTTATTTCCAAGGAGGAACAGACTGCGTATAACATTCGTGCAACAAATCCAGTTGTCAGCCAATAGTTTAAGCATTTGCGTTTGGTGATACGCAGTAGGCCACCCTAGTAATGCATTTTATTTCTTTTTCATTTAAAAGTAATTAATTTAGTCTTCTCTCCATCCATTGCTTAGGGGTGGCATAGAATTTGATGGCCAAAAGGCAGGTTTCGGTGCTAATGGCGAGACACTGTCGGGAGCGAGCCTGCAACTTCCGCCTATTAATGCGATCAGTGCGGAGTTAGAGAAGACGGAGCACGTGTTGTGGCATTCTGTTCTTCGTACGGCCAGACGCTTCTCCATGATTCCTCTCGGCCAGGATCGCATATACAGGTGAAGCGCCCTCATCAGACTTATTGTCTGTTCTTTGAATCCTACCTTCAGTAGTATTAAGCGAGTCGACCACATTAGCTTTCTTAATCTCTTACGCATCATTTGCCGCTTTCCTTTCATGTCGAAAACATTTCATTAATTTTAGACGCTATTGGCTGGTGCCATCGCTACCAGCTGTCCTGGTTGAGGACACCTTACAGGAGGCTTCCTCATCTTCTACTCCTTTTACTTCTTCCGCCAATTCCGAGGGCAGTGCAATGCAGGCACCATCATCGGCTGCGCTGCGTGTTCGTGGGCGTCAAGTCGGTGCTGGTATGGCTCTTGGTGCAAGTGCAGCGGAGGCGGCACGCAACCTACAGCGTGCGATCGAGCAATTATGCACCAGTGCGGAGATGGAGGATGAGCATTGGCAAAACCCACGTCTTCTGGATCGAGATTCCCTCCTCTGTCAGCTCGCCATTGATCTGCCTGCTAATCGAGACGTTCTTACGTTGGATCAGCTTAAGGCTTTGATTCATCCGGTGAATACTTAGTCGTTTAATCGCGTCGGTCAAAATGACAAGGTTTTTGGTGTTTTTACTTCATAAGAGCATGCAATCCGCTCTCCTCTAGTGTGCCGATTTGTCTATCTTGCTAGTTGGGTTTCTATTCATTGAAATTCCATAGCTCCTACTTTGTGAGCTTTTAACGTCTTCGTATTTGCGTTCGTCAGGATTACGCTTTTGCAATCTCTTCCCTTCGTTGTCAAGCTTATTCTGTCTTTCTGTTCGTCTGGCTACTTGCTTCTCGTTATTTTCTTGCATACTTCTTAAAATCTTATGATCTTTTAAGGTCAGCCTTTTTGCTTGTGCATATTCCTCATTGTTCCTCTCCTGAAAATCCCATTTAGCACTCATTTTAAGAGTGCAGTTGGTACTTATAAGCACCTTTTGGGCTTTAATAGCTTCTTACACGAACAAAAAGGGGAATTTCCCCACATCTTTCCGCTTTTAAGAAGGTCGGTGTCGCATGTTGTGGCCAGTGTCTGTTGCTTGTCATATCAGTCGATTTTTTGATTTGCAGAAATTGACTGAACCAAAGTAGGCCTAAAAATTCCTAATCTGAGGCTCCAACAGTTAATCATTGCTGAGGAATTTATGGGGTTTTCGGCTCCTTTTGTTTCCAAGTTCCTATGGTTGCTCTAAAATTCATGCAAACTGTTTTCACATCCTCA